ATAATTAGCTTAAAAACAAACATACAATAAAATAATTTTTATAATCCATAGCCCTAATGAATAATTTAAATACCCTACAAAAATGATAAGCCTTTATGAAGTCGTCAAAAAACAAATGTTACGGCAGTTTTTTTGTTTTTTTTATATACACAAAACCCTTTCATAAAGAAATAAAATAAAAAAATAAATAAATCTCCATAGACACGTAAACCAGACTAGGCGAAAACATCTTCCGTTTTAAATTTAGACACTCCCACCTTACCCTGACTTGGCATCTATGAATGTAACTCTATACTGATACAAATTATTAACACGCACCATTCCTCCCTATTTAAACAATCACCCTGGCTGTTACCATGGAAATTTTGATTTCAATAATGAATATGCTATTAAAACACGTAAATTTCAGAAATAAGTTATTCCCAAAAAAATTTCGCTTGAAGATGGAACAGAGCTTACTTTAATTCAATTTAATTCAAATAATTATATTGAAGTTTTCGGCTCTTGTTTTGAAACACGAGACCTCTTATATAGCGTGTTGGAATCATATTTTTTTTTAAATAAATAATTATATATATATATATATATATATATATATATATACAAACATACACAAAATTTCATTAAATCGACTGACAATGTACTGTAGTTAATATTTTTATTTACTTTTTCATGTGTTCTGATAATTTTCTTCTTTTTTGTATGTAATAATCCTAAAAACAAAGGAAGCTTTATTAATCAAACATGAAAAATTAAATCAAAAATAAACCGCTGTACCTTGTCGATTGTTGTTAATGAAACTTGAATGAAAAAAAGGGGGGATTGCTGCCCAAATACACAATTATATACAGATGAATAAAAATACTTTTACAAATTTCGAAAGCTGGTTCTTCGTACCGTAAAAAGGACAAAACTTCATATAACCATATGTCCGCAAATCCTTCGTTTTTGAATTATCAATTTTAAAGTTTACTGTAGACGCTGTTAAATGTAGAATCCAAGATAGAATCCAAAAATCCTAGATCCATAGTTTAGGGTGCCACGGAATCTGTCTCAGTAACGTGACGATAAACGACAACAAATCCAACAAATGTTGGATGATTCGGTTGCCTTCGGTCTGGGAATCGCAATCTTATACAGCCGTGCAACCTCGCCTCCAATACTACTCGAGCAGGCCGTATTTAAGAATCATATCTGCTTGCTAACGATATGAATATCCTGCCATCGTTAAATGGAATACTTCTCAGTTAACTCAGTACTACACATGAACGTTGAAGACAGACTAGCCATAAATGTACACGAATGACAAATGTAATCTAGTCTATATGTTAACAAAGCGCCATTTACTGTAAACTTTCTATAAATTTAATAACTCAAAAACGAAGGATTTGCGGACAGATGTTTATATAAAACTTTGTCGTTGATTTGGGGTGAGGATTGCGTTTCTAATGTTTGTAAAAAACGTTTCTCGCTTGTGACGTCATCGTTCCAGCCAGCTTTAATCTGAAAAAAAAATAAATGCAATGACAATCGCTATCTACTGTCTTCCTGACTGCTCTTCCTGCTCATTAGTAATGCTTCTCTTCCTAATTCTTACAAACCCAGTAATCCCTTGTGTCTTAGTGGCTTTACTGTCTTGCTTGGGGTAAAATCGGTTATACATACATACATACATACATACATATATATATATATATATATATATATATATATATATATATATATATATATATAATTTGGCCAGCTAGCTAAATGGCAAATTTCATTCAAAACAACTATGTCTCCTGTGGTTCATACTGCACTATGCTGAGCAAAGCATATTTGTGTTTTCTGAAAGAGACTACATTATCTATAACAAGGTCAGTAGGTTCAAAACCTCTGACACGGTGACTTGTGACTGTGATAGTATAACAATCATCGGTCTCTGAATAGTTCTGCATATATATATATATATATATATATATATATATATATATATATATATATATATATATGTATGTATACCTGTTTCAGAAAAAATGTTCAAATCGTGTAACTGCATGGGATAATTGCCCATCCTACAAAATTTTTAATGTCTAAAAAACACTCTAAGCTAATTGAGTTTCTTTTTTACAGATTTTCAGATAACACGTTTAGCCATCTTGACAACATTTGTCGTAAAATTCATTGAAAAAAATCACCGAAAAAACCTTTGAGTTATTCAGCGAGAAAAAGATCAGGTTAAAATCGTTTTGAGTCAGTCCCAATGTCTTCTCAACTGAGCAATGGTGAGAGGGAAAATATACAGATCTTCAGTAATGGTACCAACCTTCATATTCTGGCTTCCATCTTCAAAGTCCATTCAAGAACTACCAAGAGAACGGTGAATAAGTTTTAAAAAAAAGAGCTAACCATAGAGAAGACAACTGGATCGGGTGTGTGTGTTGAACAGAAAGAGATATCATCCTTTTAGCTCAGAGCTAAATATATTATTACTGTTCAAAGTAGGGCCCAATAGTGTTATAAAAACCGCGGAGAATTTCAGTAGACTATCTTTAATAAATTCTAAGATACAAAGGTTCAAATCTTAATCTAACAATTGGACAATTTTGTTCTGACACCCGATGAGGGTGAAGCAGCTCTGTTCCTGGGAACCGACAGCCAGACATCGGCACATTTGATTTGATTATAGTGGTGAAGACTTTGTGCAGAACCTACCACAAAAATATATATATATATATATATATATATATATATATATATGAATGAAAAGATTCTTACAGGTACAAAATTTTATTATGGCAAGGAATAAGCGGAATGTAAAGGACACAATTATGAAAACTAAAAACTAAAACAAACAACCGGTTTCGTCCCAGTACTCCTCAAGTTTGATACACTGGGATTATTTAATCATAAACTTAAAAAAAAAAAAAAACATTCAATGAGGGGAAAGGAAAAAATTTTTTGTATATATAATATAGAAATATATATATATATATATATATATATATATATATATATATATATATATATTCATTATTCAAACATATATTGTTAATTATAGCAGACAACAAAAGTTTATTATGTTTGATCATGAGCCGTTCTAAGCTTCGTATATTTTTTTTCTTTATTTTCTCCCGAAATTAAAGCAACTATACGAAGCTTGGAATGGTTCATGATCAAACATAATAAGCATTCGTTGTCTGTTACATTTAACAATATATGAATATATTTATATATATATATATATATATATATATATATATATATATATATAGGTAATATATATATTTGCCTTTGTAAAAAAAGTTTTCCCTTTTTCTTTTATTTTATATATGCACCTACATTATATATATATATATATATATATATATATATATATATATATATATATATATATATGTATGTATATATATATATATATATATATATATATATATATATATATATATATATATATATATATATATATAGATAGATAGATAGATAGATAGATAGATAGATAGATAGATAGATAGATAGATCAATATTAAATACTTATATTTTTATTACCAAGACAAAGTTTAAATTTAGTCACATAAAAGAGTTTGCATAAATTCATATTATCCGTTGGGAAACTTGATTTGATATTAATCAATTTGCATTTAAGCAAGTCTTACACCGACATACACGTGCGTGTATGTGTGTATGTGTACACACACCTGTGCCCGTACATATAAGCATCGATATATAACTATATTGATAAAGGCAGAGTGGGCTACACAGACAAAGCTGCATCAATATTTTGCAAGTGAAAGCAAATCGTTGGATCGGGAGCTGACCGTAGAGCGATGTTTAGCAAATCCTTTCGTCGTGGAGATTCTTCCGTGATAAATATGTTTGGTGATCATAACTGACTTATTTAAAGTCACTTTAGCAGTTAACTTCAAATTCCAGAAATTATTCTATCTTACACATACATACACACACACACATATTTATATATATTCTTTATACATATATATATATATATATATATATATATATATATATATATATATATATATGTGTGTGTGTGTGTGTGTGCATATATATATGTGTGTGTGCGCGCGTGTGTGTGTATGTGAGAGAGGGAAGTGGAGTTTTGTCTTGTATAGGCCCCCCACCTGTGGAAATTGCATCTTTCATGCAGTAGCATTGCGTACGGACTTATCTCACTGGCTGCTGTACTAAATTAAGTTGTTATCGGGTGCTCTTTAGTATTACCTTGTACCAGCCTAAGTGATGTTTGTTAAATAAGTACATATATTAAAATATATTCATATATATAGAAATATATTAATCTATTTATGTATTTAGATAGATAGATAGATAGATAGATAGATAAATAGATAGATAGATAGATAGATAGATAGATAGATATAGAAAAAAAGAAAAGAGATAGAGATAGAAAAAAGAAAAAAGTAAAAGAGAAATAAACTCAGATAGATAGATAGATAGATAGATAGATAGATAGATAGATAGATAGATAGATAAAAAAAAGAAAAGAGATAGAGATAGAAAAAAGAAAAAAGTAAAAGAGAAATAAACTCAGATAGATAGATAGATAGATAGATAGATAGATAGATAGATAGATAGATAGATAGATAGATAGATAATAAAAAAAAAAGAGATAGAGATAAAAAAAAAAGAGAAAAAAGTCAAAAGAGAAATAAACTCAGATAGATAGATAGATAGATAGATAGATAGATAGAAAATAGATAGATAGAAAATAGATAGTAATAGATATAAATAGATAAAAAAAAAAGAAGATAGATAGATAGATGAATAGAAAAAAAAAAAAAAAGTAAAAGATAAAAAAAAAAGATAGATAGATAGATAGATAGATAGATAGATAGATAGATAGATAGATAGATAGATAAACATACTATACTGTATTTATTACTTTTATAAGGAAAATTCTTTGGAGCTGACGTTCTCATACATAATAGCTTTGCTATCCTTGTTATTACATATATACATACAAACATATTTGTTTCCTTATGAAACGACTACTACCAACCTGTGTCGCACTACATCATTGTTCTTTATCTCTTTTTACTGTCATTAAATACAAACCAGCGAATCTCTTTCCTCCTACTTTCGCTTTGCCTTTCGTTATCTTGTTTCAGTTCACCGTGTCAAAGTGTATACTTTCACTTTCACTTTCTTTTCATATTTGGGTTATCTTCATATTTTCAGTTTTTCTTTCACCCTGTCTTTCTCGTTTTACATTTGATACAGATTAATACCTGCGTTACTTTTATCACCCTCTTGGTAATTGTACATTTCTTCTGTTATTTTGTATCCACCTCATGACTCAGTATAATTCATTATTGTCTTTATCACCCTCTATTCTTTCCTTCACAATTAAACACCTTCCCCCTACTCTCTCTCTCTCTCTCTCTCTCTCTCTCTCTCTCTGTTTTTCTCTTTTCTTTCGCTTTCCCTATTTATAAATATACGCTTAGGGGTTTACATTATGTTTTTAATCTTATATAATTTATATCATTTCTTATTTATTTAGTTGCTGCATCATTATTTGTTTATATCATTTAATACTATATCTATAGGGGGGAGTTGAAAATTTCGAGGCACTACCAAATGTCCAAATTCTGAGTAAACTTTAGCGAATTAATCATTGAATTTATTAGTCGACGAGAATTGTTTATCATATCTCGGATTTATATCTATCTATCTATCTATCTATCTATCTCTCTCTCTCTCTCTCTCTCTCTCTATATATATATATATATATATATATATATATATATATATATATATATATATAAAATAAAAAGAAAGAACAGTAAGATATAAAATCCGGTGTTCTTATAGATATTTTATTTTTACAAAATAGTGCTCAATGTAAATTTACAGAGCATTAATATTATAAATTAATTGATTTAAAATATGGTTTTTTTATTTTTTAAATCAATAATTTAAATCAATATATATATATATATATATATATATATATATATATATATATATATATATATATATATATATTAGATAGATAGATAGATAGTAAATAGAGATAGTCCACGTATGCTTCTTATAATACATAGAATGTATATATGATAAGCCTGTGAAAGAAATGTGATAGATAAAACTCCAAGAAAAATAATACTATTCATGAGAGTAATAATATTTATTGTATACTAGTAGGCCTTTTGACCAAATGAAAATCTTTCTCATCATGTTTCCATTTGGAAAAAAAGGCCTACTAATCTACAATAAATATTATTAGTCTTATCATCAATATTATCATTTTTGTTTTTGATTTCATCTCCCGAATTTCTATCACCGGCATATATATATATATTTTTTATTGCTCTTTTTATTCAACATTCCTACCTCATCATATTACTAACTGATTATTCTCTCAGTATAAGTCTTCCTCTTTTCCGTTTTCTCTCTTTCACTCAACTCCATCCCTTATTGTTCTGGATTTGACCATTTTTTTTTTCTTTTCCATTTTACAACGTTTATCCAAGTCTTTCTGTCTCTCTAGTCACTAGTTCATTTTTTTATTAGCATTATACACCCCGAAACTGATTTTATTTCCTTTTTCACGTTTTGCCTATTTTCAGTTATTTCTCTCTCTCTCTCTCTCTCTCTCATAAGTTTAGGGTTTCACCGTCTATATCTGCATCAGTTTTCTAAGATCTCTTTGTCTCTCTAAATTTCTGTATTGTTCTATCTCTCTCTCTCTCTCGCTTCTCTCTCTTGCTTCTCTCTCTCTCTCTCTCTCGTTTCTCTCACCTGCTTCATGACTTCTCTTCCGATCTCACCCTTTTTTCTGTCTCTCTTGTTCTGTGTCTCTTTCTTTCCATCTCCACCATTCACTGTCCTTTCTCTCTTTCTCCCTCACTCACTCACTCACTCTCTCTCTCACTCTCTCTCTCTCTCTCTCTCTCTCTCACTCTCACACACACACACGCACACATACACACTGCGCGTCACTCCCGCTTTCGATCTCTGCTCCTCTCACTTTTTATGTCTGTACTTTTCTCTCCCTATCTATGCCACACTCATTATCTCTCTCTTTCTATCGCTCTTTTAACTCTCTCTGCCTGTCCCTCTCGTTCACTGTGCTTCTCTCTCTCACACACATGCAATCTCTCTCGCTCGCTCTCTCTCTCTCTCTGACCGTCACTCTCTTTCAATCTCTGACCCGCTCTCTTTGATGAAGTCTCTACAGTTTTGTACCCATCGATGACACTCTCTCTGACTGTCTCTCTCTCTTTCCCTATCTCTCTCTGTCTAGCTCTTCATCTCTATGTCTACCCCACTCTCCTGTTCATCTTTGTCTACCCCCTCTCTCTCTCTTTCTCATTCTCTTTCTCACTTTCTAATTCCTGGATAATATGGACGATGTCATTCCTGTTTAGTTAATCTGCTGACAGAATTAAACCTTCTCTCTCCTTTCATACGTTTACGTTTTTATTTCTTCTCTCACTTCTCTTATATTATTTCTATTTCTCTTATTTCTATCTCTTACTCTCTATCTTCTCTTCTCTATCTCCCTTTCTCTATCGCTTTCTCTCTCACCGCCTTTGCTCTCTCTCTCTCTTTATCTATCTATCTATCTATCTTTTTGACTACCTTTCTCTCATTCTTTTAGTGTTTTGCATTCTTTCTTGCTCTCTTATAAATCCTGTCTCATTGCAGGTCCAACCCATCGTTCGATATCGTTCTCTGCACCTCTCTCTCTTTATTTATTTATCTCTCTTTCTTTTTCTCTCACACTTTCTCTCACCCTCCCTCCCTATATGTTTATGCATTTTATTATTTCTCTCACTTTTCTCCACTCAATATTTATCTCTATCTTTCTCCCTTTCTCTCTTGCTGATTCTCTCTCTCTCTCCCACTTGAATCTCTCTTTACGCGGCTAATATTTTATATTCTTTCTCTCTCACCATATAAACCTCGCTTCCGATCATTTCTACTTCATATTTTATGATCGCTCTCTCATTTCTCTTTCTCTTATATACACACTCTCTCTTTGTGCTTCACAAACACTCTATTACTCCCTTTAGTCATCTCGCTTTTCATATTCTCTTTAATCTCTCCCCTCCTTTTCTCCCTATCTCTCTCTCTCACTCTCTCTTTGTCTTTCTTGTTGTGTTTCTCTCCTTCGCACTTCTAGGTATTCTTTTTCTCTTACATTCATTCTCTCTTTATATTACTGGAGTTTAACTTTCTCACCTCTTTTTTTGACTGTTTCTCTCTTTCCGTCTCTCTCTTTAAGTAGTCTTTCTATCTATCTATCTATCTATCTATCTATCTATCTATCTATCTCTCTTTATATTATTGTAGCCTTACCTTATTTTATCACGTATTGTATTCTTTATTTACTTACTCTCTTTACTATCTATTTGACTCTCTTTCTCACCCTCTTTTTTTTTGGCTATGTTTCTCTCTTTAACCCCCCCTTTCCGCCTCTCTGTGTTTCCCTCTCTATACCCCTCTTTCCGCGTTACACTTTAAGTATATTATTTTATCTGTTTCTCTTATTCTCTCTCTGTATATTATTTGAGTTTTATGATACATTTTCACTCGTTCTACTCTTCCTCTCACTCTCTTAGTTATCATTAGTTTCTCCTCTCTCTTTTCACTGTTGCTTTGATTATAGTTTTGTCTCTCTCTATCCCTCTCTCTCTTTCTCTTTATATTAATGAGGTGTGCTCCGTTCACTCCCCTCAGACTCTCACTCTCATCTGTTTGACTCTCTCTGTCTTTGACTATGTCTTTCTCTCTATATATTGTTTGAGTTTATTTCACTCGCATACGTCTATTTTTCTCTTTCCCTTTCACACTCTCTCTATTTATCTATCTATCTATCTAACTATCTATCTACTCATTAACCATACTCATTTTTTTTTCCTTTTTAGCTCCCTCATGGTTCAAGAAAGACACATTTATCAGTCGACTCTCATCTCTCATTGGATGGACCCTCCCACTATCGTAAGACCATGCCTCCCGCTATTCCTCCCTCCTTCACTTGATTCACCTTTATGCGTCTTTCTCATCCTCCGTCTTTTTGCTCCTTGTCACTTTCTTCGTGATTCGTTCTACCTTGTGTCGCTATGGCGACAGGAGGCGAAGCCCACCTCAGCTGTAACAAAATAATGAGTTCTGTGCAGCATAGCAACCTTACCGGGCTGGCTCCTCCGCAAACAACGTCCGAATATCCCCTCCCATCCCCCAACCCTATATTTCTACACTCCCTCCCCCCATTCATCACCTGATACAAGACAAACAGCTACACGCTTTCCTGCTGGACTCCCAGGGCCCCAATGACATGAACAACACATGGTGTCGAGAAGGCGAACTCACAATTCTAGCACATCATTCTATGGAACAGATAGAAATGGGATGAGAATCATAGCTTATCAGGTAAAGACAGATTAAAGTTTTATGCGCGTTTAAAATTGATGCAGAGTGTTAATGGGTTTGAAAATAAGATGCCTTAGTCTTTTAAATTGAAAAATGCAATAGCTTTTAAATACTAAGAAATATTAAATATGTAATAGGCAATATATAAAACACGTGGGCTAGTTTCTCACAAAATATTTCTAAAAAGACTTCTCAAAATTAGTTTTATATATATGTAATTTTATTACTTAAACATTAGTTTTGGTAGATTTTTATTTATTTATTTATTTATTTATTTATTTATTTATTTATGTAAATTTGTTTCCGTCTATCTGAATATTAGAGAAATTTTATTGAGGTATATATCAACATTTAGTTGAGAATATAGCTTGTGCCAAGTTGTATAAAAAAAGTGGTTTAAAATTATTTCATACAGCCGATTCCAATAATCATTTGAAGATTTTGGAATCGGTCTGTATAGGATTAAAACCTTCTCTCTGCCGGCAGAAAGAATTTATAAGGTCTCTGAATCTGTTGGGGATATTTTTATTTTAACTGTCCCTCGCTAATTTATTTAACGATCCCTTCCTCGTTACAAGTATATATACTTGTTTGTTATTTTAGTGTGGCCTTTTTTTTGCTCTTCAATATCGTTAATATTCTTTTCGCTAATCCAACGATTGTCTCTGATGAGATGTTGGCTGAAAAGGGCCCTAGAGACTTTTAAAATTAAAATCAATGGTTTCCTTGTTTTTAAAACTATTTATAAATTTTGTACCTCCAAACATTTGTTTTATATATATATATATATATATATATACTAGCAGCATGGCCCGGCGTTGCCTGTGCTTGATTCAAAAATCGTACGACTCATAAACGCTATCACTTGATTTAAAATATTTTTGCCCTTCCTTGCCGTTGAACGAGTGCCCTTTTCCGTGCTGATGTTGCTATACGACTTACTTCTTGCCTATCTCACACTGCGAATTTTTTCTAAGCTCTATACTAAACATTAAATCTGTTACGAAAAAAGAACTAAACAAAATGAACACAAAACGATCAGCTTTAAAAAAGGACTCGTAACTGGAAAAACTGAATGAAAAAAGAATGTTAACAACAAATATTTTTTCACACCCAACCCAGTTCTGCGGAATCAGAATCAACGTTGAGTTTAAGCAAGCGAATGAACCAATTGGAGTAAAGTGCCATGCAGATTTAAATTTTTCCCACTTGTGACTAATGCAACTATCGATTTTTTTGGCATACTAGCATGCTAGTTAACATTCGTGTCAGTCAGCTGTTGGCTCTCACGCTGGCCAATAGAATCTTCCTGCCTTTTCGTGGCAGCCAGCTATAGGCACTCACTCTGGCCAATATAAAATGGCCGCAAACTACATGAAAACTGCCGTGGGAACATGAAAAAATCGATTATTTCCACTATCGATGGGAGTTGGGAAATGCAAAGTCGGTCTTGGCCTTTCCACTAACTTGGAGCATGTGCATGTAAATTTTGGTGCAAATCCGTCAAAAATTGCGGCCGTGCATTCGTTACACACACACACACACATCCTGCCTTTTATAGATAGAGATAACAAAATTTATTCAGTGTAGCTATGGAAATACTTTCAGTTCATTTGCTGAACTAGAAAAAAAAAACTGCTGAAACTTTACAATTCCTTATCTGTAGTTGTTGAAAAGAGACCACAGAACAAACAGTAAAAGCTCAATCCTAAAATCAAGTACTATGACCTGTGGTACTACTGTGTAGCAGAAGACATATAAATAAATCCCAAGTCCACCGACCAAAACAATCTATATTCAATCTTGACTGCCCATACCAGTTAAAACTTAGAACCAGGAAATAAATAAACTTCTGTGTTAAGTGTTGTTATTTTTTGCATTAACCGCCTTCATAATAATAAAAATATTTACCGGCAAAATAACCTCGGGGTTTATTTTACTGAGATCGGTAAAATAAGCTTAAACGCATGTTTGTCTATTTTATCGGGACCGGCAAAATCGACTCTTCCTTAAACAAAAGTCCTGAAAGAAAACCTCCATCAGTACTAAAGATATGAATAACAGTAGACTTGTGATTTCTCTCTGTAAATTAAACTGCTACTCTCACTGTTGCTATTATAAAACCCGTATGTTGATAAAAGTCTTAACCATCAGTAACTATTCTCTTATGCTATCTCTTCTCTTCTGCGGTTTGTTTGCTTCTGTTGTACACACAGGGTAATTGTTTAGAAAGGAGCTCCCATGTATCTCTTCTGTGGGACCCACTTCACCGACGTAAAAAGATTATTTCTCTGGACATTCTCTGGCTCATAACAAGAATGGACGATTATTACCTTTCAGAGATCCGCATCAGTAAAACCTTACAAAATTATCTTATTATTACTATATTGAAGAGATCTTCTTGGATATTTGTTATGGTCCGGTTCCTTGTACCACGGTATTAGTCCAAGGTAGAACCAATAACGATGAACTTGAACACAAGTATGGAATAACACAGATATATTACAAACAGAAATATATACAGAGAAGTAGAAAGTGTTAGTATGAACAATCAGGTTTAGTAGGGAGAACAATGTATTCTCGACCAGTATCACTATTCCAATGTCTTATAGTAATTGTCTGAACGTGACTCTGTTTCGGACTGCCTCTGACTCGATTCTTGACTCGACTTGAACTACTGACTCACGATATTGAGTCCCCCCCCCCACTGGGGCAACATGTGACACAAGGTCGGTTGTTTATTGTGGGTTTCCCGAGCCCGTGATCTCGCCCAAAAGTATGCCCGTTTGAACCCGGTTCAGGGCCGGTTTTACCTCCCCGAAGGAGACTCCGCCCTTCGGCGCAGCCTACTTCGGGTTCCTCTCCGTCCGGAGAAAGAGAGTTGAACCGAACAGTCGCTCAGAAAGTGAACGACTGACAATATTGAGTCACCCCCCCCCCCCACGAGGGTGTCATGTGGCACAAGGCCTTTTAACGTGGGCATTCCCGAGCCATTAGGCTCGGCCCGTAATACCCATTTGAACCCGTATAAACGGGTTCAGGGCCGGTTTTACCTCCCCGAAGGAGACTCCGCCCTTCGGCGTAGCCTCCTTCGGGTTCCTCCCGTCCGTAGGAAGAGAGTTCAAACCGAGCAGTCTGTTCAAAAGTGAACGACTGACGCACTTCCTGCCTACTCCTGAGGCGCAGTATTTTTTAAGTATGGAATAGTCCATTATTATTATTATGGGTAAAATCCCATAACAATATTGTATGTGGTTCTGTTTGTGTGTGCTACTATGGGGGGATATGAATCAAACTAGAATAGAAGGCGACGTGAGGTAAATTTTTTTAAAATAATTTGGAAAGTTTTTTACATTGAATAGTTTGCCAGTGATCCAGCGTTTCCAGAAACGGTGGATCACTGGTAAAACTATCTCGAAGTATATATATATATATATATATATATATATATATATATATATATATATATATATATATATTCCAAATTGTCTTATAAATTTCTGCTGATGCAGGAACACTGGTGAAAAATACCAAGCTATTTTTTTTAATTCCAAAGTTTATATGCCAAGAAAGACGGTTCACTATGCCGGGCGAGACAATTTTTTCTCCTGAATCTATCTTGCATATCTATAAGTCTACCCTTTGCCCATGCTTAGAATATTGCTGCCATATATGGGCCGGTGCTCCTACTATTTACCTGGAACTCTTTGATAAGACACAAAGAAGAATCAGCAATATTATTGGTCCTGATCTGGCGGCTCGGCTTCTGTCACTTGCCCACCGCTTTAATGTTATCTCGCTGTGTCTTTTTTTTATATATAAATATTTTCACAGTCATTATTCGGATGAAATCTTCTCTGTGTAGACTGTATGAATTTAAGCACAATACTAGACTGGCGGTGAGATCACATGAATTTAAACTTGAGCTAGTTGTATGTAACTTTTTGTAGCCGTAATTTTTATGCTAACAGTTTTTTCTCGCACCTTTTGTTTGTGGCAATCCCATCCAGCCCCATATTTTGCAGAGAATTTTATCTGCAAAAATTTAAATCCAATATAAATTGTTATCTACTGTCCTCCTGATTGCTCCTTTTCTTTCTACTCATTACTAATAATTCTCTTCCTAATTTCTCACACACTGTAACCCCTTGCGTGTTAGGGGCTGTACTGACTTGGTTCGGTGAAACTGATTAATATATATATATATATATATATATATATATATATATATATATATATATATATATATATATATATATATATATATATATATATATATATATATATATAAGGCAGGATGTGTGTGTGTGTGTATGTAACGAATGCACGGCTGCAATTTTCGACGGATTTACACCAAAATTTACATGCACATGCTCCAAGTTAGTGGAAAGGTAATAACTTACATTGCATTTCCCAACTCACTTCTACGGCAGTTTTCATGTAGTTTGCGGCCATTTTGTACTGGCCAGAGTGAGTGCCTATAGCTGGCTGCCACGAATAGGCAGGAAGATTCTATTGGCCAGCGTGAGAGCCAACAGTTGACTGACACGGATGTTAACTAGCATGCTAGCATGCCAAAAAAATCGATAACTGCATTCGTCACAAGTGGGAAAAATTTAAATCTGCATGGCACTTTCCTCCAATTGGCTAATTCCCTTGCTTAAACTCAACGTTGATTCTGATTCCGCAGAACTGAGTTCGGTGTGAAAAAGTATTTGTTGTTAACATTCTTTTTTCATTCGGTTTTTCCAGTTACGAGTCCTTTTTTTAAAGCTGATCGTTTTGTGTTCATTTTCTTTAGTTCTTTTTTCGTAACAGATTTAATGTTTAGTATAGAGCTTAGAAAAAATTCACAGTGTGAGATAGGCAAGAAGTAAGGCATGTAGCAACATCAGCACGGCAAAGGGCACTCGTTTAAAGGCAAGGAAGGGAAAAAATATTTTAAGTCAAGTGATAGCGATTGCTGTATGAGTATGATTTTTGAATCAAGCACGGGCAACGCGGGGCCATGCTGCTAGTATATATATATATATATATATATATATTGTAATACATTCACCCAGGATCCGATCGGTATTTATAATTTAAACTGCAGAGTATCCCTCCGGTAGTTCATCTTCCAATTAATAGAGTTTGGTTTATTCCCAGGTGTCTGAGGCACCCATGAAAGGGGTAATGATGAAGGAGCTTGATCATTTTTTGCATCTACATAGCCATAATGTACACGTGAGAGTTCGACTTTAAGCATAGCCACATGTTATATTTTGAGCCGTTCTACGGATAAATACTGATTGTGCATACGTTCGGATATTTGTAAATTTGTAATTATATACGCATTTTTATTTTAATATTTTCTAATTTCGTCTCCCTGATTCATAAGTTTATCCCTTCCCTTGCCTCTTCCGCCACGACAAACCCTCCCCTTTTTTTTTCGAACTCTCTCCTCTTTTCCTCTTGGAGACTGTACACCCTTCGATCCCGTCCACCACCTCACAACTCATCTCCCTGACATTCACACTAGACTTCATCGTTTCGATCATGACGTCTTTCATTAATAAACGTTTACATTGCTTTGTCATTTACTTCGCCTTTGATTAT